GGACTTTTGGTTCCAGGTCACCAGATCACTTTTATAGCCTCTGATTGGCAATCACAGTGATCAGTCACTGTGCAGCCAGCCCCCGGGTTTTTTGTTTCCTCTGAATAGAGAGTAAGATACATTGTATACATAGAGGATACATTACATAGAACATTGTACTACAGACGGCACAGGTCTTGGTTATAGGCCTTCTCATCCATTAGAGACTACAAAAATATTGTAGTACAGAGGTACATGCCTTTTTCCAGTCCTTGTTTGGTGTAGACTATGAGAATGTTCCAGTAAAGAGGGCACAGGTCTTGGTTCCAGTCTTTCTTGTTTAGTAGAGACTTCAAGAACATTGTACTATGAAGGGCACAGGTCTTGGTTCCAGCCCTTCTCATCTAGTAGAGACTACAAGAGCATTGTACTACAGAGGGCACAGGTCTTGGTTCCAGTCTTTCTTGTTTCGTAGAGACTACGAGAGGATTGTACTAAAGAGGGCACAGTTCTTGGCTCCAGTCCTTCTTGTTTGGTAGAGACTACAAAGAACATTGCAGTACAGAGGGAACAGGTCTTGATTCCAGTCCTTCTTGTTTGGTAGAGACTATAAGAGCATTGCAGAGCAGAGGGCACAGGTCTTGGGTCCAGCCCTTCACATCTTGTAGAGACTACAAGAACATTGTAGTACAGAGGGTACAGGTCTTGGTTCCAGCCTTCTTGTTTGGTAGAGACTACAAAAACATTGCAGCACTGAGGGCACAGGTCTTGGTTCCAGTCCTTCTTGTTTGATAGAGACTACAAGAGCATTGTACTACAGAGGGCACAGGTCTTGGTTCCAGTCCTTCTTGTTTGGTAGAGACTACAAGAATGTAGCAGTAGAGAGGGCACAGGTCTTGGTTACAGTCATTCTTGTTTGGTAGAGGCTACAAGAGCATTGTACTACAGAGGGCACAGGTCTTGGTTCCAGTCATTTTTGTTTGATAGAGACTACAAAAACATTGCAGCACTGAGGGCACAGGTCTTGGTTCCAGCCTTCTTGTTTGGTAGAGACTACAAGAACATTGCAGTACAGAGGGCACAAGTCTTGGGTCCAGCCCTTCTCATCTTGTAGAGACTACAAAAACATTGTAGTTCAGAGGGCACAAGCCTTGGGTCCAGTCCGTCTTGTTTGGTAGAGATTACAAAAACGTTGCAGCACTGAGGGCACAGTTCTTGGTTCCAGTCTTCTTATTTGGTAGAGACTACAAGAATGGTGCAGTAGAGAGGGCCCAAGTCTTGGTTCCGGTCATTCTTGTTTGGCAGAGACTACAAGAACATTGTAGTGCAGAGGGCACAGGTCTTGGTTCCAGCCCTTCTCATCCAGTTGAGACTACACAGATACTGTGGTAGAGAGGGCACAGGTCCTAGTTCCAGTCCTTCTTGTTTGCTAGAGACTACAAGAAAATTGTAGTACAGAGGGAACAGGTCTTGTTTTCAGTCCTTCTTGTCTGACAGCTCACAAGGAATATGACTAGCATGCTGCTCATTCAGCAAACAGTTGTTTGAAATTTGCTTGCTACCTCTTGGAAATGAGTGAAGAAACATACACTCAGTGACCAGTATTGTGTATATGATACATGACTATATACTGTATATATCTTCTAAGATTGGTCTACAAATCTATTGATAACCATTATTGGATGCCTAGCAGAACATCAGGAATGGGAGAATTCCAGCCATTTAAAACTTAAGTTTGACAAAACGTTAGTATGCAACCTTCATCTATCAGAGAGTCTACTCAGCCTTCAAGAACTCCTTTGCTCACTTAAAATCTCCTGAACTAAATCTTATGTTCATGTATCTACGATGAAAAATCACTGAGCAAAAATGGTGCTCATGGAAGGACACCATGGAGGAAACCATTACTTGTCCGAAAAAAAAAATGGTTAGATGCTCTATAATGCATCTTGGACAATTAGAAATGATCCAAAGAAAACTTGAACTCTCTAATAAAAACATACAGTGCAATCTTCAGGTGAAAAGCATTGCTCACCAACACCAAAACCTTGTCCCAACTGTGAAATATGGTGGAGGATACATCATGGTTGGCAGCTTTCAGAGTGTCACGGTGTGAGGTCAGGTTTAGAGACCAGTAGCTATAGCAGCAGACCAACCAACAGAATAGGTAAACAAGCAGGTCACCCTGGGAGATGATGCAGGCTCACCTGAGGTGTGGGGTCTAAGCACTAACCGGTATTCACAAGAGCTCCTGATGGTGGAGATGGATTTTGCTGCATGTTAGTACCAGGTCACAGTTCTCAGGATCGCCCCACCAGGAAGTGAGCAAGCCAGGATCCAGTAACGGATATGGCAGGTAGGGATCTAGCAGAAGCATAGTCAGTAGACAAGCCAAGGGTCGATAACAAGTGGTAGCAGGTTGGGATGAGGCAGAATCGTAGTCAAGGAACAAGCCAAGGGTCAGTAACAAGGGCAGTAGCAGGTTGGAAAGAGGCAGAATCGTAGTCAAGGAACAAGCCAAAGGGTCAGGTTGGGAAGAAAAGCGGTAGCAGGTTGAGATGAGGCAGAATCATAGTCAAGGAACAGGCCATGGGTCGGTAACAAGTGGTAACAGAACAAGTTGGGATGAGGCAGAATCGTAGTCAGGGAACAAGCCAAGGGTCAGTAACAAGTGGTAGCAGGTTGGGATGAGGCAGAATCGTAGTCAAGCCAAGGGTCAGTAACAAGCGGTAGTAGGTTAGGATGAGGCAGGATCATAGTCAAGGAACAAGCCAAGGGTCGGTAACTAGCGGTAGCAGGTTGGGATGAGGCAGAATCGTAGTCAAGGAACAAGCCAAAGGTCGGTAGTGAAGGCAGGTATGGACTGCAGAAGTGAGATACTGGTTGGAGAAGGCACAATAATTTGGCAAACAGGAAGTTCAGAGACATGGCTTAAATCAGGAAGTTCATGGGAGGAGCAAGGAGTTCAAGGTTCATCATAAAACAAGGCACAAGGCAGGATTGTCCAATGGATCAGGCAGAGTGTAGTCCAGCATCCCAGGTAGTTCAGTGAGAAGAGTTACTGCCTGACACAGTAGAGGTCTCAGGTTCAAGTCCAGGCCCTGACACAGAAGGATTGGACAGCTTGGATAAAGGGAACAATTGATTCAAAATGATATCAAGCAATGATACTGGAGAATGTAAGAATGGCTGTCTGTTACCTAAAACGTAACAGAAATTGCTTAACGAGGTAAAATAAATGAAAGGAAACGCATCAGAGAAATTAGCTATAAAAAACAGATTCAAAATTTGTTTTCTGGAATTTCTAAGACCTGAGCTCTATGGAAAGGTGCTTCATTGCTCAAGGTGTCACAAAATTTCAATCAGCTGTTTTTGTAAAGCAAATAGTCTAAATCCCTTCTAATTGTTTTTTTTGAAGTCCGATCAACAGCTACAGGAAACATTTGATGAAGGTAATTGCTACCAGTTGTTAAATACAAAGGTTCTGATATCATTCCAGCTCAGTGTTTGACTGTTAGCACACCACGTTTTCTGAGTTATTAGCTTTAAGCAGATAGACAAACACCTATTATTGCGAGTTACTTGAATTTCATTCATGTTTCTGAACCATTCCTGCTGAAATACTTGAAATTCGGTGGGGCTCGCGGTTTTTCTAGCATGTTATAGCAAAAGTTGGTTTTCTTCCTTCTACTCCATTATACAAGAATGGTTTTGGATGTACTGGTGGCCACAGGTCATAAAGAAGCAATGATTTGTGTGCCACTGTCCACCACAATTATCCATCACCGTAGAGAATGAGCTCCTTGTTTTGGGTTTTTTGTACTGGAAGTGAGGACATGGAAAGACCTGTTGTCTTCAGAAGAAAATGCCGTATCCCATTGGATATCATCCTAATGCTTCATTGTATTCTAGCCGTGGTTTTGAATGATCTACTTACTTGATTCGGAAATCAGATTTAAAATGTAAAGCATGGCCTCATAATAGTTACATACTGTATTTTCCGGCGCATAAGACGACTGGGCGTATAGGACGACCCCCTACTTTTCCTGTTAAAATATAGGGTTTGGGCTATACTCACCATATAAGACTACCCCTCTTCCCAACGCACACCAAATAAAAATTAAAAAACATCAGATTTGATTTCAGTATGGTATTTCAGTATGGTATTCCAATGATGGTGCACTATTCCTTCCACTGATACCAATGATGGGGCACTATTCCTTCCACTTATACCAATGATGGGGCACTATTCCCCCCACTGACACCAATGATGGGGCACTATTCCCCCACTGACACCAATGATGGGGCACTATTCCTCCCACTGACACCAATGATGGGGCACTATTCATCCACTGATACCAATGATGGGGCACTATTCCTCCTACTGATACCAATGATGGGACACTATTCCTCCCACTGATACCAATGATGGGGCACTATTCCTCCCACTGATACCAATGATGGGGCACTATTCCTCCCACTGACACCAATGATGGGACACTATTCATCCCACTGATACCAATGATGGGGCACTATTCCTCCTACAATGATGGGGACTATTCCCAATGATGGGACACTATTCCTCCTACTGATACCAATGATGGGACACTATTCCTCCTACTGATACCAATGATGGGACACTATTCCTCCCACTGACACCAGTGATGGGGGCACTATTCATCCCACTGATACCAATGATGGGGCACTATTCCTCCCACTGATACCAATGATGGGACACTATTCCTCCCACTGGCACCAATGATGGGGCACTATTCCTCCCACTGATACCAATTATGGGGCACTATTCCTCCCACTAATACCAATGATGGGGCACTATTCCTCCCACTAATACCAATGATGGGGCACTATTCCTCCCACTGATACCAATGATGGGGACACTGTTCCTCCCACTGATACCAATGATGGGACACTATTCCTCCCACTGATACCAATGATGGGACACTATTCCTCCCACTGACACCAATAATGGTGCCCCATCATTAGTGTCAGTGTGTGAGGAATAGTGTCCCATCATTAGTGTCAGTGGGAGGAATAGTGGCCCATCATTGGTGTCAGTGGGAGGAATAGTGCCCCATCATTGGTGTCAGTGGGAGGAATAGTGCCCCATCATTGGTGTCAGTGGGAGGAATAGTGCCCCATCATTGGTGTCAGTGGGGGGGGGGGAGGAATAGTGCCCCATCATTGGTGTCAGTGGGGGTGAAGGAATAGTGCCCCAACATTGGTGTCAGTGGGGAGGAGGAATAGTGCCCCATCGTTGGTGTTAGTGGGGGGGGGGGGGGGGGGGAATAGTGCCAATAGTGTTCCAGCATGGTGCTGCTGCACACTTACCGGCCGCTCTCTCACTCGATTTTTGCGGGGCGGCTCGGCTCTGCCTCCTCACCGGTGATTGGCCGCCTGTGTCCCTTTCCTGAGCTACAGTTCTGGCGCCCAATCACCAGTGAGGAGGCGGACATCGAGCGGGATCAAACCGAACAGAATGAAGGAGCAGCTGCACTTCCTGGACCGGATCGTCGTGGGACCGGGACCGGAGCCAGGTAAAAAACAGCAGCCCCCTGCCTGCCCCTGTGATTAGTGTCTCTTCCGTTGGAAGGGGGGGGTCGGCACCGCGGCCCCCCCCCCCCCACGAAAAAGTGCCGCCCTGACACAGGCTCGCCGTATACCAGCGTATAAGAGGACCCCCGACTTTTCAGAAGATTTGCATGGGTTAAAAAGTCGTCTTATACGCCGGAAAATATGGTAGTTAGTCTGGCTGAAAAAAGAGAAAAGTCCATCCAGTTCAACCATAGAAAAAAAAAGTTATAATCCTATACCCACAGTTGATCCAGAGGAAGGCAATATATATATATATATATATATATATATATATATATATATATATATTTTTTTTTTTTTTTTAAACTTGACATAAACACAAAATCACAATGTGTTCCCTTTAAGTCCAGGAACCCTTGTAATGACTTTCTCTTTAGTTGCACATTGAATGTCCTACATTCATATCTGGCCTACACGTCGCTTCTATCATCCATGAGCGTGGATCTGCAGTGAATAGGCTGGAAGGGGTTGACACCAATGTTTGTTTTGTGCAGATTTGAGAAGCGAGGTCCATCAACAATCTCCCACCCCATGTTGGATGTGTACTTTAGTTGTCACGACGGGAGGATGTATTGAAATTCTACCCAGGAATTCTTCACAAAAGCATTAAGACAAAAAGGGCAGAAGCATGCATCATGCGGGGCTTAGTCGAGCCGCATGAAAGCCATTGTTCTGGTGCTGATGACCTCCTTGCCGAGAATGATAATTTTATCCCTCTCTGCATCATTATGTTTGCTGCAAAAATCCTGCTGAGCCACATCATAATAACATGTAATCTTCTTCCTCAGTTGAGCCAGGATTTAAGGAGCCTGTCTTCATGGAAGCAGTTTTCTGAAAAAAAAAAAAAAAAAACCTGATCTATAATTTGACAAAATCACCCTAGCAAAAGAGCAAGGCATTATAAGAGGGATAAGTGTCCCTAAAACTCTTAAAGTGAAGATTACAGTAAAGTTTCCAATCCGCCGCTGAACCATCTGGCAATTGCATGTCGAACTTTGATAAACATCTTTTAGGCTTAGTGCGGCCCCTGCAACAAAGAACAAAAGTATGTTGGGTTACGTGACAGCATGTGGGAAAAAAAAAAATATATATATATATACAGAGAGATAGATATATAGATAGATATTGATGTATTTACTCCCGGTGCAAAGCAATCAGACCATATCTAGCATAAAAGGAGAAAGGATTGCTGCACTTAAAATTTTCATATGAAAAAAGTAGTAAGATAGATAGATAGATAGAGAGAGAGAGAGAGATAATAGATAGATAGATAGATAGATAGATAATAGATAGATAGATAATAGATAGATAGATAGATAGATAGATAGATAGATAGATAGATAGATAGATAGATAATAGATAGATAGATAGATAGATAGATAATAGATAGATAGATAATAGATAGATAGATAGATAGATAGATAGATAGATAGATAGATAGATAGATAGATAATAATAGATAGATAGATAGATAGATAGATAGATAGATAGATAGATAGATAGATAGATAGATAGATAGATAGATAGATAGATAGATAGATAGATAGATAGATAGATAGATAGATAGATAGATAGATAGATAGATAGATAGATAGATAGATAGATAGATAGATAGATAGATAGATAGATAGATAGATAGATAGATAATAGATAGATAGATAATAGATAGATAGATAGATAGATAGATAGATAGATAGATAGATAGATAATAGATAGATAGATAGATGATAGATAGATAGATAGATAGATAGATAGATAGATAGATAGATAGATAAATAGATAGATAGATAGATAGATAGATAGATAGATAGATAGATAGATAGATAGATAGATAGATAGATAGATAGATAGATAATAGATAGATAGATAGATAGATAGATAGATATAGATAGATAGATAGATAATAGATAGATAGATAGATAGATAGATAATAGATAGATAGATAGATAGATAGATGATAGATAGATAGATAGATAGATAGATAGATAGATAGATAGATAGATAATAGATAGATAGATAGATAGATAGATAGATAGATAGATAGATAGATAGATAGATAGATAGATAATAGATAGATAATAGATAGATAATAGATAGATGATAGATAGATAGATAGATAGATAGATAGATAGATAGATAGATAGATAGATAGATAGATATAGATAGATAATAGATAGATAGATAGATAGATAGATAGATAGATAGATAGATAGATAATAGATAGATAGATAGATAGATAGATAGAAAGATTTGATTCGAAAAATAGCCACACTATTCCCATGGACATGATAACCCAATGACCACGTTAAGCCTAAAAATTATATCTGTATATTATATATATATATAAAACATATTTTTTTTTGCAAGAGGCTATGTATTATACAATATATAGCTACAATATTCACATGCTGTCGCTTAACCCAACATACTTTTATTCTTCGTTGCAATGGCCATAATAAGTCTAAAACAAGAAGATGAAAAAAAAAATTCTATATATATATATATATATATATATATATATATATATATATATAAACACACACACACACAATATGCCCAACAACAACTCGACACACCTCTCACCGGGGGGCATTTTGTGGGGGGCATTGGTGCAGTAAAGTCTTCTTTCTGGCAACTCGACCATGCAGCTCATTTTTGTTCAAGTATCATTGTATAGTGCTCCTTAAGACAACCACACCGTCTTTTTCCAGAGCAGCCTGGATTTCTCCTGAGGTTACCTGTGGGTTTTTCTTTGTATATCGAACAGTTCTTTTGGCAGTTGTGGCTGCAATCTTTCTTGGTCTACCTGACATCAAAATGCACTTCTGGTCTGCCGTCTTCTTGGCCTACGTCACTTCCGGTATTTGGAACGCACGCCGACTTTTGCGGTTAAAGCAGCCATTTTTGAGGTGGAAAGCTGGTCATCCTCTACAGTGATCCTTAAAGCGTGAGATCCCTATATTTACAATTTGGAAACTTGTTCCTTTGAAGCCTTTGAGGCTATTAAACAAGGCCTGTTATTTTATTGAAACATGTGAGTGCCCTTATTCTATGGATTTATAAGGTATTGAGTGGCAGGATTACACCTATGTAGCCTTTCTTTCCTTGCACACTATTGAGGATTCCATGGAGAAGTAGAGTGGAGTCGATTGCTGTATCTAAGCAGGGTGAAGAAGGCGATTTGAGTTCCTCCTGAGGGGCTATAGGATCCCTTATATCCTATGAGGCTTATTACTCACCTCCATCTGGTGAGTGCGGTCAATATTATTTTTCACGTGGTGATTAGGTGGAAGCACATTTTGAAACATTGTTTTGAAAATCCTTTTGGGAAAATAAGGACGTATGTTTGAAATATATATATTTTTGCACGGACATTTATTTATTTGTGATTATTTTGATGTATTTAATTTTTGCGCTGTTTTTTCTGTTATTTATGTGATAATAAATGGCTTCACATGGACAGTCTTTTTGCATGATCAGTCATATTTTCAATATCAATGCCAACATTTCAGGATTTCTGCCAGGGTATGCAAACTTTTGAGCACAACTGTATTTTACTCCTTCTGCATTCTAATGAAAAGTTATTTTATCATTTGTGTCCCCGTTGAAGAGATGTACTGTCACTTCCTGTCTTGACAGGAAGTAAAGGGAAATCCCCCCATTTGGGACATTTGGGGAAATAAAATTCCGCCTTTCTTGCCTTTTATGTCTTGCTTTCCATTATGGTATATCTTTCATTCAAGAACAAACTTCCCCAAATTGTCTCCCCCCCAAAAAAATAAAAAAACAAACCCATAACTTCACTGGCCTCCGTGTTTGGAACATAGTTTACTGAAAAAAGATAAAAGTCCATCCAGTTCAACCATTAACCACTTGACCTCCAGAGGATTTACCCCCCTTAATGACCACGCCTCTTTTTGCTACTCGGTGCTACACTAATTCAACTGACAATTGCGCGGTCATGCAACGCTGCACCCAAACAAAATTGATGTCCTTTTTTTTTCACACAAATAGAGCTTTCTTTTGGTGGTATTTGATCACCTGTGCGCTTTTTATTTTTCACGCTATAAACAAAAAAATGCCAAAAAATTTTGAAGAAAAACAATATTTTTTACTTTCAGCTATAAAAAAATATATAGTAAACTCAAAGTTGGTTATAAATTTAGGCCAAAATGTATTCTGCTCCATGTTTTTGGTAAAAAAAATCCCAAATAAGTGTATATTGATTGCTTTGTGTGGAAGTTATAGCGTCTACAAACTATGGGATAGATACTGCAATTTGCGCCATTTTTTTGCTATACAGCGCTGCGCTAGTTTAACGGACAATTGCGCGGTCATGCAATACGGTACATAAATTAAATTTACATCCTTTTTTTTCCCACAAATTGAGCTTTCTTTTCGGTGGTATTTGATCGCCTGTGCGGTTTTTTAGTTTTTGCGCTATAAAAAAAAAGGCTGACAATTTTGAAAAAAAAAACAATATTTTGGACTTTTTGCTATAAAACATGTCCAGTAAAAAAAAAAAAAAAAATTAAAAAAATCAAATTTAGTCATAAATTTCTGCCAAAATGCATTCTGCGACATGTCTTTGCTAAAAAAAAAAACACAATACGTGTAAATTAATCGGTTTACGTGAAAGTTATAGCATTTACAAATGGCGGGAAAGA